GTTCACGTAAATGTAAATTATTTCACTTTTCTCCTTCCGTAGAACAAATTAGCCTCATGGAATTAAATAAATATATCATTCATCACATGTCAAGAGACGCGAAAGTTTATGACCTGCTTTGTTTTATTTTCAAATTACATCTTTTTGGCACAAAAGCTAAGTTAAGTTTGGTTCAAAATATTTTAAATAAACATTATAATTTCTGATTTTCTTAAAATAAGTTTTGAAAAAAATGATAATTGATATTTAAAAAATTTCAAAGTCAGATTTCCATTTTTTTTTAAAATGGAAAAAAAATGGTCAATTTTGCTGACTCAAAAAAAACTAGATTTTTAACGAAAATTTCGGACGTGCTAGGAACGATTAAAAAATGGAAAAAAATACCCCAAAAATACTTTGACCTTTCCTCTTAATGAATAACAAACATTTAGATGATAAAATTTTGTTTTCGTCAAGTTTGGCGTCTTTTTCATCATGCTATGCTCTTTTTTTAGCGATCACGTGGAGGTACCTAAGCATACAACAGGCAAAATGTTGTGAATATGGCAATAAAGATGAGGACAACAGTCCGAATGATGTAGATAGTTTAAAAGATACATGCGTATGTGTATTTAAGTAGCAACAGTGACATTTGATCTTGCATAAAAATTTTAAAATGGAATCTTCACTTGGCAACTTTAAACTTTTAGTTTAGAAGATTTGAAAATCTGAAGGTAAAAGCAAGAAACAAAAGATTTAAAAATCAAGTGAAACCAACAGATTTGGCATAAATTCAAAGAATTAATTGTTAAGTGCAATGTACAGATAAGCTGAATAATTTTACAGTAATTTTCTTATTCTTCAACAGGGGAGATTAATTGCTATGTTACAGCATTGACTAAATAAATAAGTAGAGGAATACTAATATAATGAAGATTTTACCATTGGATTATTCAGTAGAGTGAGAGTGTAATTCTCAAATAGAAACAAAAAATGTTTCCAAAGTGTGTTTTTAGGGGGAGAAAATTTTTAAAAATTTATTTTTTTTTTTTAGAAATTGCTTAATGAATTTATGAACGGCAAGGAATAATTACATTTTTAATTGAGATAAACAACTGAAGGTTAAAGAGAAATTTGATATTTTGAATGTGATCAGACTTATTAAAATACAAAGATCAAAAATTAAATCTGTCTATATTTCTGAGATGGGGTATTGTATCTATTTACATTGTTTGGACAATCGTCACATTCATGATGTTTCGTCCACTGTACACTCTGGCCTTCTTCAGGTGATATATGTTGGAGTTTTGAATTGACCCCATTATTGGGATAGATTGTTCTAGTTGCCATGCCTTTTCTGGATACTCCAGTTTCTGTTAATTCCCTTTAGTAACTCAACTTGCCAAGTTTTTTTTTGTTCACCTCTGTTGTGGCAAGGTATTGAACTCATAACTCTTTGCATCAAGTCACTGGACTGATTACTTCAACCACTGAGCCGTGGGGACATCAATGAATTTTTGGAACTTTTAAACCTAATGTCTCTGTAATATTTTTTTTTTTAATAGAACTCATATTACAACTTGTTGTTATTGATTTTCTCTAGCTCTCTGTATTACTGGTTACCATATTGTATTCATGTCTATGCTTGGCTGGCTTACATTTTTGTAGCCCAGCATATGCACTGATTCTTTAAGTTTTCATATCCATAAAAGGCATGGCATGTGGAACTAGAACAATCTATCCCCATGGACTAAATAAAGGGTTCAATTTGAAATTCCAACATATATCACCTGAAGAAGGCTGGAGCATACAACAGCCAAAACATCATAAATATGACAAAGATGAGGACAACAGTTCAAACAATGTAAATAGTGAAGAATTATATCTTGATTTGAATACTATGAAGTTTTGTTTCTGATGATATTCTTAAGATTTTTAAAAACAAATGACTACATATATGTGATAGAATCTTTACACAAACAAATTTGCCAATTTAATGTAAATTTGTCAGAAGCAGCTTTGATGAACAACCCAAGCAACTGCAAATATATCTTTTTATAACCTCTGCAATCATTATAAACATTCGTTGAAGGAAATTATTTTGCAACAGCTAATTAAGAATTTGAGAAAGTAAAGATCTTGAAGTGAAATAAAGAAACTTGAATGATTTTAATATCTTTATCAATTATTTTATTTCTTTCTTGATTGTGAAACCAACAGATCAACTCAACAAATCAAATAGAAAAACTGCATCCATTTAAATCATGTTTTGCTCAATAAACCAAATCTATATCAAAATTTAATCACAAAAACTACAAAACACAAATAATAATAATAGCCTATGTCTAATAAAAATGTTCAAATAAATCAACAAGCAAAAATACAGAAAAAATACTTTCAGATTGATGGATCAATTATTTTTATAGCTTATCAACCCTTTTGGGGGTTATTTAAAACTGAAACATATTTAGACCATGAAAATTTTTTTGTCATTGAATATTGCATTAGAATTTTTTTAAAGAATGACAATGATTTTTCCAGTTACAAGTTGTACTTTAACCCATAGCTGAGGGAGAAGATGGATTCATACCTTTCCCAAAGGTATTTGCACATATGTGATTGTAACAAATCCAACTGGAATTTGAACACATCTTGAGATGCAGATACTTTCATAAGTCGTTTGTGTCTGAAATAATTTTTGCATACCAAATACTGAATAATAGCTTTCCTTAGATTGCTTTACCTTTAACCTAAATAGTCTCTAAGTTTATTCAGATTTTAGAAAACTAATATAAAAATATCCGTAAATTCTTTCACGAGGATAAATTAGTTGTCAAAACATTTATTTTTATAAACTAAACGTGTTGGGCTATCTTTTATTTTGTTTTTGATGAAAGACTTTTAATGCAAAGGATGTAGAGGCTAGGCCTAACTTTTTTTTTTGTTGTTTTGTTTTTTTTAATTATTTTTGTTTTAGAAATTCTTGTTGGTCCCAAATTTTGGGGTTTATGTTTTATTTTATGAAAAAAATGTTTACTCAGAATATGAGGCTATGTAAAGCAATCAAAGGGAAGTAATTCAGTATTTGACATACGGAAACTGTTTTGAACGCTAAAAATTCAAAGATCAGAGTTAAGGAGAAAATAAAACTGAAATACAACAATAATTTATTCACTGGTTATGTAACTTAAAGTTACATGAATTTTTTGTAGAATTCCTAAAAAAGCATTTTGGCCGAATTTATGTTTATTTTCTTAATTACGATTATTAATTTTCATTTCATTCTGGAAAAAAAAAAAATTTTTTTAATTTATATTTTTTACAAAATTTTTTTGCAAATAATTGAATTCCATAATGAAATTCTCTTTTTCCAGAATGCATTTTTTTTTCTGTAAAAGGTATTTTGTGGTCTTTTTTTTTCACCAAGAACTTAAAAACGAAAAAAAAAAGTGGGGGGGGGGATGAAAACAAATAAATTTAATATTTTTCATCTTCAAAATACAGGAAAATGAGTTAAAGAAAATGTATTAATTTCATTTTTAAGGGTAAATAATGTGATAAAAACAAAAAACCCATTATGAATTTAAGCTGTATTTGAAAATTAAAATTAAACAATGTTTTTATTGTTTGTTTTTGTTGTCCAATCCATTGTATTGTTCCAAAAATAGTGCATCAATCTCAAATAAATAAGACTTAAAAAAATAGAAACATGTACAAAAGAAAATATACTATAATAATAAAATAAAAGAAAGCATATTGCTTTGTTTATATCTAAAACTGGCTGATTTTACAAGGTCTGAGTACAAAGACATCTTGCTTTGTCACTTAATGTATTTTTCATCATGAATATTAATGACTTGGTAGACCTTTCCAAGTAAAGTAGAACTACGTATCCCATAATTTGTACACACCATTGTATCTCTAAGACGAATACCATGTGGTGATGTGAGAGTTAGCTCCCCTTTTATTCGACCATATACGCAACCCAAGTCCATTCATTAAAGAAAAAGAAAAGAAAGTGTATTTATTTTGCATTTTGGTTTAGTTTTTAAAATTTTACGTACATAAAAATATACTATTTTAATAACTAAGTTAAAAATAACGAAGATGTTTATTTATTGCAATAAATCTACGAACGTAATTTGAAGTTAAAAAACAACAACAACAACAAAAAAACACTACTACTACTACCACCACTACAGTTGTCTCCAATCATATAGATTGGAGACGCTGGATTTTTTCCCCCAATTTTTCTTGCTTTAAAATTTTATAAATAATTGTTGTCGTCTTTATTTGCAACAAAATAACTTGAAATAAAGTAAAGATTTTACATACGTCTATTACTATTATTTGCTTTTAGTATTTTATTTTAATGTTTAAATTAGAAAATTTAGTTTTGAAATTCAAAAAAATAAAAAAAAATAAAACAAAACCAGGTGTTTACTAAAAACGACTCTGCATTCTGATTGTTTTGTTATACAATGAATTGCATAATTCTCATACTTAAGAAATTAAAAAGCTAATTTTTTTGTTAATTTTTATTTCTTATTTTCTTTATTATTTTGTGAACGAAGTATTTGTTGATAATACAATAATGAGTGACACAACAAATATGAACAAGAACCAACCAGACATGATGAGAACCTAGCAGAACAAACAAAATTATAAAAAAGACTATACAGACTATTTTTAGTTAAATTTTCAACTAAAGAAAATTAGGTTAAAATTTTTTTTAATTTAAAATTAAAAATGAACAATTTTTAAAACTTAACCCTCGAATTATTAATTTTAGAATTGTCATAGTGGTGGTGTAATTTTATATATAAATTAGATAGATAGATAGATAGACATTCGTCAATAATAGTTGGTTGATACGGATGAATGAATGGTAGGTAAGCTAAGAAAAAAAAGAAAGAAGGTCACGTTTGTGTGGACACTGACATTTATTTTGAGAACGCTACTATCCTGTTAATTGACCATTCATGGATAGCTTCCTTAAAATTAATAAAGGCTGGACATACCTCTAGGCGAAGGTTTCCACCCAGTTCGGGATAGCCTTCATCCATAATTTGTATCTGCTACGACTCATACCAACGACAACGCCAGAGAAGGATCCATATTGATCAAATGATCGTAAATACGAAACTAAAGTAGCTGACTATCACGTTTTTCTTTTATTTTTACGACCTGTGTGTATCTGCGAAGTATACAAGGAGACAAAGCATTTGAAAAAAATAAACTTGGTTATCCAACAATTTCATTTAAAGATCGATTAATTCATTAAAAAAGTTAATTATTTATGTTCGATCTATATTATGCTTTTGATTATAGAAAAAACGAGTTTATTATTATACGTTTTGCGGCTGTGAAATTAAAGTCCAAACAAAATCTTTTAAGTCAGTTTAGTGCAATTTAATTCAAACCAGTGCACATCATTTTTTTTGTTATGCCTCATAATGGAAGTTACTTTTATATTCTGTTTGGTCATTATTATCTATTAGAGATATTTAGTTCGTGAAAAAATAATATTTTAATTAAATTAGCAAATCACAATTTTTATAATTCACCATTCAAACCTATTTTCCCATTTTTTCTACAGGTGTTGACAATGAGCAAAAAGTTACTCATGTTCTATAGAATTTCTTGAAGTGTTTTCTTTTTATAATTAAAAACGGTGATCCAAAAAGTAAACAAATGGGCACCTGACGAAACAATTTTTATGTCTTAATTATAAGTTATCATTAAACTAAGTATGGAAAACCCTAATATTTAACTTGTTTTTTTTTTCAAACTATCCAATGGTTCCTAGAGTCTCAACCACTTGAAATATCAATTGAAAATCTTTATATTACAAACAGTTTCTTCTAAACAAAAGAATATTAAGTTTTTCTAATAATAAATTAATTTCAATTTCCAAATGAAAATATTAATCCACTAAAAGTATTCTTGATATTTGTTACCCTTGGCTAAATGAAGTGTAGGTAGAGATAAGATAAGTAGAGTTGGTTTTTTGTCTGAATTTTTGGAGTGAGGAGTTCACTAACTAATACATTAATTATCTAGGCTTGGTTAGTGGATTTTGTGGCATAGTGAGTTCAATCTTTGGTTAAGGTAATATGGCTATACTCAGACTTAGTAGAAAACATAACTGGCAATAACTTAGCAGTATTAAAGGATCCAAAAAGATTTCTTTAGATATGAGTGGCAAAATAAAAACAATCTCCATTCATAGATCAAATAGTGCTCAATTCAAAATTCCCTAAAGTTTACCTGGATCAACAGACACCGGAAGAAGGTCAGAGAGCACAATGGTCAAAATGTGATTATAGCAACAAAGATTAGGACATTAACCTGACTAAATAAAAGTTTATTGTGTCAATCTTCTAGGTGAGAAGGTCCTACCTTCCTTCAAGATAAGCATTCAAAATTCTATTTTTTTTTCCTTTTTTATTCTCATGTAGGCTTGAACCCAGTCTACTGGCACCAATGGGGAAATACACAACTCTCTCAACCATCAAGCAGGCCACATGTTGATTCTATTCTCTCCAGCAGTACAAACATTTGCTTATTTTCTTAATTTTTATTTTTATAAACTACCATGTTTTTCTACTCTACCTTGTAAAAATAAAGCAAGGACTGCACTTAATTTTTTTTTTGCTTTATAATTTCAAAAGAATTGCTAATGACATGAGTATTTTAAGAAGTATATTTTTATATAAAAGTTACTACTCACACAAATTCCATAAACTCCACTGAGGAGTATAAGGCTACAGCCCTACTATGGTAATGCCACAGCATCACCACATCCAACTGAATTCAGAATTGTCCTTCTGTTGTTACCAACCAAGGCTAAAGAGCCCAGTATCCACTACTATTTAACCTATAGTTGGTGGGAGAAGTATATTAGCATGAAAGTGAATGTAACAATCTCAACTGGAATTTGAACTTTTTTCACCAATTTCTCGTTCTGAACTGCTAACCATTACACCACCTGCACATGTACATGAAAGTTGCTATAACATTTCTATTATAATGAATTATCCAGAGTGTAAGCTATTTTATATTTTATTCTTTTCCAGACATTACTGTGGTTCAAAATTTTTTTTTAAAATTCTCCCAGTATTTCTCCTGTTCCCTTAAATTTATTTCTTCTTCTCTTGCAACCTTTTTTTGTTCATTTCATATGAGAAAGGTTGTGAGAAAGGAAGAAAGAGATTTAAAAGAAGCATGAGAGAGATCCTGGGAGAATTTTTAAAAAAATTTTATTATTTGAACAACAAGCTATTTTGGCTATTGCTTTCATGATCTGATGGTGTTACTCCATTTTTCCATTTCCTCCTGGCCTGTATGCTGCTCTGTAGTACCTTCTTATTTTCCATATTTCAAGCATCGCTTGGAGTAGTTCCAAGTAGAAAACTGTGCCAGTGTCCATTATCACCTCCTTCTCAAACTCTACCCTTTTTTTCCTTTTTTTCAAGGAATTCTTGCAGTACACCACCTTGTTTTTAAATACTGGAGACTCTCCTATCCATCTTCAGCATTCACATCATCATCTGCATCTGTTCTAGTTCCATGTGCCAGGTCTAATGGATGTCAGTTATCAGTTATCTCCTGTTAATTCCCCTCTCCAAGTTCTCCACTGCCCTAACTAGGTATTGAACTCACACTTTTGGGGTCCTGTCACTGGATCTAACCAACGCCTTTATCCACTGAATTTATTAGACATGGCACGTGGAACTAGAACACTCTACCCCAGTGAGCAAAATAAAGGGTGCAGTTTGACATTCCAACCACCTGAAGAAGGCTGGAGCATACAATGGCCAAAACTTTGTAATAAATATGGCGACAAAGATGAGAACAATAGTCTGAATAATGTAAATAGTGTATATTAGAATAATGTTAGGAAAATCAATGACAAAATGGAAAAAAAATTTGTTGTTATAATTATGCATAGATAGGAAATACTGAAACTTTAACAAAACATTACTTTAGTTCAATAAAGTCTTAAAGGCAGAAATGTGGCACACAAAAATTTTTTCCACTTTGTCATTAATTTTCCTAATACTTATAATTTATAAAACAAAACCTATGCTTCAAAATTAAATCTTTGGTGGAAAAAATTGATCTGGTAAGTAATTAATATCAGTGCCAGCACATATTACCCCCAAAATTTCCCACCTGGAGGGCCCAAGCCTGATTGGGGCCCTTGGCAGTGCTTGTGACCCTCAGTATCTTATCAACATTTGCTTTTTTCTACCTACATTTATATACATTACAAATTAAATTAAGCATAACTGAATATTAAAGGAGGAAAAATTTTCATAGATCTTGAAGTTATTCTGGGGCCTTTTTTTCTGTCTAAATCTATGAATTTGTTTTGCTCATGCTAAATTGAAAAAAACTCTATATCAAATTCACCATTTTTCATGCATAATATTAAATATGTTAAAATTATTCAACTTTTTAACAAGAAAAATCTCAAGTTGATGTTAAAAATTGGCACAAAACATTGTTGATTTATTTAAAATGGAATGTTCTGTTATGACATATCTTCAATTTTTATTTAGATGCATTGTATTTACTTTCAATTTTTCTAGTTGAATTCTTCGCCTATATTGCATATGATCCATGATTGTACATAAATAGGTTACAATAAAATTTCTATTTTATATGAATACTATCCTATGAAAATTGAGATATATTAAGGGGGGGGTATCATAGATTGGGTGGGGGCACAAGACCCTTTCACTAGCCCTGACTGATATAAAAAGGGAAAATAGTTCATTTTTTTTTTAATGCTTTGAAAAAAAATTAAGTAAGTTGAATTTTGTATAGGAAAGTTAGATAAAATCAAAAGAAAGTTAAAAAATTTTTTTTCATTGCAAAGAGAGAAGAAAATTAATTTAAGTAATGCAGGATGGTATTAAAAATAAATACACTGAACTAAAATAAAATCAGTATTACAAGGAGTTTATAGCAGTGTCATCTAGACCAATGTGGCTAAAGACTGAATATTTGTGTGCTAGGCTAGGATTATATGTACAACTATTTTTATTTTATTTTATTCTCCCTCATTATCATATGCTTTCTGCAGAGTCTTTTAAAATGCTTATTTTAATATGAAAATACTTTCCTGACAAGTTTATTAACTCCATTTAATGTGTGGTATGGTTTCATATTTGCCATTGTAGTCCCACTCTAGAAGTGCTTTTTTTCCCTTATATCAATGGTGCTATCAGAAGGGGGTGGGCTAAAGTTAAGAACTAAAGGGGACTAAATTTGTTCTCTTGGCATAAATTTATGATAATGCTATTGAACATTACATCAAGTCCTGGAAAAGCATATGTCTAAAATCATTCATTTGTCTAAAATCATTATTGCCGTTAATTTTCCAAATGAATTTAAAATCTTCATTTTTTTTCAAAAAAAATATTAGCTTTAAAACTCTTATATATCTTATATACAGAAAAGTCTATAGATTTAATTCCAGAAAATAAGTACAAGTGAAAAGCCAAAACAAATTAATTAAAAAAAAGTGTTTACAGTAGGATAATAGATGTAAAAATGATGAGAGGATCCGATAAAAAAATATAGAATCAAGAATCTTTAAAACTTGACCTTTGGCCCAGGACATTCACTTTTAACATCTGATTTAGCACCCACACATTTTAACATCTGATTTAGTCCCCTTTTTCTTTTTATTTTGTGGCATCCTGCTTGTCTTTTGTGTTCTTTGCTAAATTCTATGAAGCTGAAGAGTTTCCCTGGAATTTTATCTCTAATACTTCAATATCAAGCAAGCTTCACTATGCTTCACTCAGAATGACACAAATCCAATTGAGGAAGAAAGATTATTTTACATTAATTATCCAAGTGGAGAGCACTTACCGAACTAATGGCACCAACAGGAAATAAATATTTCAACCTTAAGGCAGGCTTCAAGGTATTTTCTAACGCTTAACTTAGTCTGACAAGGGCATGAGTTTGGAGCATTCGATCAAGATCAAATTCATTAATTTCATTGACAATAGTAACTCATGGGTTACTCCACTTGGCATCATCAAAT